AGAAACGAAACGACAAACACTCCGCCGCCTCCACGGCATACTTACCGCCGTCGGAACCAGCTGCGCTTATCCTCTGGCTCGGGCAGCGGCGGCGAAAAAAACAAACTAACACACCAAGATCACCGGTCACACTCAACTCAAGAAAAGGCTGGCTCCTTTCCGCTCCTTTCCTCTCACGGAAGGACGAGCCCAATCGCCCCTCCGACCCCTCCCCCCAGACAGACCTGCTGCGGCCACAACAAGACACCTCCACCAACCGCACGGAGTACCCGCTGCTGCCGAAGACGGATACGATCCACCGCAGCCGGCCTAACACCACACGCCAGCGGCGGCAACAGCAAGCTCCGTCAGGCCGAGAAAACTCCCACCCCGCTGTTCCGCCATTTGCCAAAGGTTCCGAGAGATCCCGACAGTCGACGCTCCGCCATTTGCGGAAGGTCGCGAGACCCCCCCTCCCGCGACAACGCCTGCAGTAGCAGTAGCATCCTCTCCGCTTATTTCTTCTTGCCCTTGCCCTTCTTCTTACCGCTCGCCTTTTTCTTGGCGCCGCCGCCGCCCAAGCCCTTGTGGAGGTCGATGGCGAACGAGTCGAGAGCGTCCTTGGCTGCCTGGTCTCCAAGGTCGTCACCGCTGTCCTCCGACACGTGACCGGCGCCCTTGCTCTTCTTCTTGCCCTCGCTTCACACACAAAAAGAAAAAAACGCCATCAATGAAACACAAATAAGCGAATAAACAGCAGTTAACAACACAGGGACGGACGGACGGACGGGGGGGTACTCATAGTCGTGCATGCCGTAGTCGCTAGACCATTGACCTCGCATCCCTACAAAGCCGGGACGGAGCACGCCGGGTTCTCACCGGACCAGGCTCTCACATCACCAAGCGCGAAGCGCCGTGAGATATTCGGCGAGTCGCATGAAGGGTGCGCTGCATCCTGCTAAGGGTGTTCGGCATCTTGTGCTTACTTCCTTGCGTACGGATGACAGCTGCGTATGACTTAATTTATTTTCTGGTGCTTTCACTTCCAGAGACAGTTGTAAGCACTGTGTAACTGCCTCGAGGGTGCTTGACCATTTTAACACAACGTGGTGCGATCATCCCCCTTGCGCGGAGTGAGGGTTCTCCACCCCGCACAACATGATCTACTCGACCACCATTATGGTTACCGCCAAAAAAAAAAAGAGGTAAAACAAAAAAAAAAGCGGTAACCTGGTTGCCAACTTCACGAAGTGAACTGGCTTGTTTTACAATGTCGTTGCCAAGCGACGAAAACCCAATCCCGATGGCAAACACCGAAGGGTGGGCTGACACAGGGGTGGACAAACGAAGTCGTGCTTATTTCGGTCGCCGCGAAATAGGAAAGAGTAGCCAACATCGTAGGTCAGCACACATGACGTCATTACATCGATCGGCACGTCGAGACGTGACCGACGCCATTGTTCTTCTTGCCCGCGCTCAATAAATAACAAAACAGGGGACAGACAAAAAAAATGGGTTCGTTTTGGACGTGAAACAGATCATTAGAATTACGGACATCGAAGGTCAACGCACATGATATCAATCGGTGCATCGGTTTTCGATTTCGCTCATTCAAAAAGCGAAAAGAAACAAGAGAAAACAGAACCCCTTGGTCATGTTCTCTTTATTTAATGTCACAAGTTATGGTCGCAGCAGAGCACAGCTGCCAATGACAAAGTGTCTAATACTACAAGCGGGCGATGGTCAACACACCCAGGTGTGCAGAGGGAAGGAACAGAAAAAAAAAACACAACAAAATACTATTAATAGCACACGACCAGACCTTCGTCTATACCGTGAAAAAACACCACGCAAGGGGCAGACAGATGCCATGTAAGAAGCACGGGAGATCACTCAACATACCAACCAGAGGTAAGTGAAAGAACGCACCGGTTATCACCGAAAGACGGGGACATATTTTCGTTTTCTGGCCGCAAATGCTATTTTCGTATTGTGCGAATTGAGGGAGAGCGAGAGCCAATGTTGCCACCCACTCCTTTGGGAAAAACTGATATTCTTTATTCATGCCAACGAGAACGATACAAAGCACGGTGGACGCCTACATCTTCTATTCCGCGCGCAATCTGCTTCGCCGCTAGCGACTCGCGGTCAGAGACGGTTTCCGTCGATTTCTGAGTGACCGTTGCAGACCCACGACGGCGATCCAACATTCCAGCGATTTGCATGGAGCGACGAAAGCGACCACATAAGAGCCTGTTGCGAACGATCTGGCCTGTCTTTCAGCTCTCTTCGTGTGGCCAACATGCGCGAGCTTTTGTAGCTGTCGCCGCAAGTCTGTAGAGCTCTTGCGCAGATCGGACACAAGACTTCACGACTGGCGTCCTGTCACCAGGAAAGGAAGATGTGCTGCTGTACTCTCCAGGATTCACCGAGGGCCAGAATATCATGAGATGCAATCAATGTCCGCTCCCAGCCTAACAGCCCCTTTTCCTTTACCGCTCATGTAGCGGCTTCGTGGCATGTCCGCAGCACATTGGCTTCTACTTGGCACGTCCAACATGCTGCTGGACATGACATGAGGCCGCTACATGAGTGGCGAATGTAAAGGGAAGGGGCTGGTAAGCTGGGAATGGACATTGATGCACTCTACTGAAAATCCGTCCCTTGGTGCAGCAGCAGAGTACAATGGGACGTCTCCCTTCTTGGTGACCGGACGCCAGTCTTGCAGTCTAATGCCCGATCTTCGCAAGAGCTCTACAATATATACTGACGGCGACAGCTAGCCCGCGAATATTGGCCACACCGAGAGAGCTCAAAGATAGACCGGGCCGTTCGCAACACAGCAACCGAGCGAAATGCGGGAGACAATTCCGAGTCAAACGAAATATTACGACGCAAAAACCACTTGCGGAAAAATAGGCAATAATACAAGCGCGTTCAAGTATTCTGCTAGTTTTGTGGCAAGCCGTGGTCTGTGCCAAGAGTTCTGTCAGAGGTGATTCCACAACATCGGGCAGAGTAAAAAACTTAGAGGGGTCACGGAAAATGAGAGGTTGACGATGTTTTTTTTCCGCGGAGTACAGCGCAGGTGGAGAGGGAGAGAGGGAGACAGAGCCTATCGAGACAAGACAAGAGAGGGCGGGAGAGAGAATACGAGAGAGGGAGAGCCAGACAAAAGACAACGAAAAAACAACGGGGAGAGAATTGAGTCAGAGCGGGGCGATCGACGACCGACGACTCACTTCTTGCGGGAGCAGTCGTTCTTGTGGCCCTTGGACCAGTCGCTCGCCTGGCACTCGTTGCCGCAATACCACACCTCGTTGCACAAGGAGCACTGCTTCACCTGGCTGCGGAGCTTAAGCTGGTTGCCTGCCGGGCGAGTTTGAAAAAAAACAAAAAAAGGGGGGGGACGTACTCTGCATGTATTGCATGCATGCCTAAGCTGTTGGTAAGACCAGTGACCACGCGTCCTCGACAGCAAGGACGGAGCGGTGTTTCCACAGACACGATTTCACCGATGGTCAATCGTTCGGGCGGGCAGTAGTTACCAAGGGTAGCGTGTGACTTTCAGTTCGTGCGCTTCAAGAGGTACTGTATGCATACGGGGCGTTCTTTTTTTTTTTTTCACGCCAAGGTAAGAATTGTCCGCTCCCATTTGCCGCGGGGTGTGCAAATGTATCATCAGAGCATGTGTCTCTGCGTCGAGTGGACACGTGGCTGGATGGCTGCATGGTGCGTGTACGTAGCGTACGACGTCCCCGACGTGCTCCAAAGACATAAATCGGTTCGGCGCGTCTTCGTTGTTCGGCACACGGAAGGAGGGACTCAAGGAAGTAAGGAAGTAAGGAAGTGCATTGGGGTCGCAGTTTGCGCGTCGTTCCATGTATTATAGTGAGAAAAACGTAGATAGCAGAGACCGCCTCATGGAACTTGTCCCAGAGGACTGACCACACGAAAAGTGGCGCACAAAAAATCGAATACGGCCAATTCCTTGCGGCATGAGTGACGGCAACCACAGCAACAACAGCATCAACAACGCCACCGGAGTGGCGCGCACAGAACGAAAACGGCCAACTGCGTGCGGCAAGTGAAACGACAACAACAACAACAACGGCAACAACCCACTCACATCCCTTGCAGGCCATCATCTTTTCGGGGATCTTCCTCTTCTCCTTTTCGGGGTCGGCGATGTACTTCTCCTTGCCCGACGCGGTACGAGACTTGACCTTGAACGCGGCCTCGTCCGACATGTTGTCTCCGATCGGGAGCTTACGCTTCGAGTTCGCCTTGGTCAACTCACTGAGGAGGAAAAAAAAAAAAGGGCGGGGAACAAACACACAACGGGAGACAGTCAGACTTCCACGCAGTATGCCCATGGTGGCGTCGAGAGGCCGAGGCTTGCCAAACGACGAGGTAGAACAAGGAAAAAAAAGTCTCGAGAGAGTTGAAACCGTAAAACAAAAACTCCGTTCATAGCACCGCAGCCTTCTTTAAGGCGGAGGCTTCGACGAGAGACACGTCGGGTCTTTCTTGCGGGCGGGAGAGGGCCTGAAGGCCAAGCAGGCGTCAACGCAAAACAGGCCTCAAGGCAAAACACCACTATGGTTTCTCTTGTTGTTCTCGTTATTGTCTTAACATTGAAAACATTTCCGATCTCTTCACGCAGTCTTTACCTGTCCACTACTGATGGAACACTTGACGCGGTCGATCCCCGTGGCCTTCTCACGCTTTTGTACATAACTTGGAGGCTTCGACGAGAGATACGTCGGGTCTTTCTTGCGAGGTGGGAGTGGACCTGAAGGCCGACCAGGCCTCAAGGCAAAACACACACTGCTGTTACTGTTGTTGCTGCTCTTGTTCTTGCCGTCGCATCAAAAACCGTTCCGATCTCTCTACCTAGCACCTTCATCTGTCCGTGCTGATCCAACACTTGACGCTGTCGATCCCCGTGGCCTTCCCACGCCATTGTACATTACATTGTACATTACATTGTACATTACACTGTACTTGAAGTACATTACTCACACAAAGAAGTCGGCGTAGACGCCGTCCATGATGGCGATGAGGGGCGACTCCTTGGTCTTGGCGTCAGAGTCGGCGTTGACGACCTTGTCCGACGAGGCCGCCACCGAGACGCGGGTGCCCTCCAGCAGCGGCGACAAGAACTTCGCCAGGAGCGGGTCGGTCGTGGTCAGCTGAGCCGGCCGGATACGCACCGCCTAGAGGTGCGGGTGGAATCGATGAGTTGTGTGATCAAGCAAAGACGCGAGTGTGGGGGGACGGGGGGCGGGGGACGCGGGACGGGGGCGACGACAACGTCCGAATATGAGCAAGGATCGATGGGTATGTATGCACATCACCAAGGTGAGAGCAATTGGAGTACGAGCAAGGACGAATGGATAAGCAAGTTACTAAGGGCACGCGAGTCAACACGCGGTCTCCACGTTCTGCCTTCGGCTCAAGAGAAAGAATAAGACGAACCCGAGCCAAACGCGTGGACGGCGAAATAGATATCAGCCGCAGCAACAGCAGCAGCAAACACCAAAAACCTGGCGGACACTCCACAGGCCAAGCGGTCGACCCCATTCGATCACGCCGACCCCGCAACCACGGAGCGAGCACACGTCATAGGGTGTGCTCGACAAATCCGTGGAGCCCCACCCCTACTCACAGGCGTTACGACACTGCAACACGCGGCCCTGCGAATCCCACATCCATCCAAACATGCGGACCACAACCGGTTCCAGTCTTCCTTCACACGCCGCTCTTCACACACCTCTTCGATCATGCCCATGCCCTCGGTGACCACTCCCATCACGATGCCCTCGAGCACGTGCATGAACGCCTTGTCCGCCTGCGTCTCCTCGATGGGGAACGAGTGGAACACGTAGCGGCTCGCCGGGGCGATGAGGATGCACAGGTAGGGAGCCTTGTCGTGCGGGGCCGGCAGCCTGTGGTGAGGATTCGGAAGTTGAGGAGATCCTGAAGGTTTTGGTTCGGTTTGGCTTCCTTTTGGTTGGTTTGGTTTGGTCTGGGAATGATCTGATTCGGTTCGGCTTGGCGCCTCTGTCGATCCACTTGGTGAAGGTTCGAGTACGGTTTGCTGACATACCGTAAGGTTTTTGCCGGAATACCGTGAGTGTATATAACCCAAGTACGCAACCACCCCGCCAAAAAAAAAAAAAACAGCGGGCGCGACGTTGAACACCGTACAACCGAGTACCGGGACACCTTTTAGGCTGAAACAGATGTAGGGCGGGTGTGCCACATGCTACCGCGGCATGTGCCGTTCGGGGAACCACTACCCTACGAATTGGCGTATTCTGTGCGACGGTGACGGTGCACACGTCACAAGTGAGAAAAACACGAAACCGTTACATCACTGACCCGGCAAAAACGGTGTGGTCTTATCATCCACTCAACCTAGCACATACCACGAGAAAGCACTCACCGCTCCCAACAATCTATCGGTACCCGAAAGACCGGTCGAATGGGGTACAAAAACTTGGCCACGGACCACGTCACTCTCCCCGCCGAGGCAGGCGAGCAAGCACGGCTGCATGCATCGTATCTACACATGGTCTTCAAGCCCATGCTCACCTCCGGATCTCGACGTGAAGGCGCGAGTCCTGGCCCACGGCGTTGGTTTTCTTTACCGGGATCTTCAGGAACGGGGCCGCCAAACTCTCCTGCAAACCCCACCCCACCCGGTCGGCGAAAGATAACAGAATCAGTGACGGGCTAGCAGTTTGTTTGGCTTCTCATCTCTCAAGAAAGACAAGTCATTTACGAAGCAAACGGTAGAAGACGTCCAAGATAATCCTCCTACAACCAACCAAGAAATCACCCCAAACAACAACCATCAACCATCACAACAGTAGCAAGGCAACAACATCAACAACAGCAGTAACAACGTCGGCGAGACGACTACATTGCCAATATGCTTCTACAGGCCAAAAAAACAAAAAACAATGACTCACCGCATAGGTAAGGCCCTCGGGCTCCTCCTCCTGCGGCTTTAGCGGGTTGCCCGGGGTAAAGAGCGTCAAGCAGTTGCACTTCGACCCGACGGCCTTGGTCAGGGCCTCCAACATACCCGCCTCGGTCGCCACGGCGTTCACCTCCTCCGCCGCCTTGTCGAGATCCGCCTGAAGAACAACAAATTCGTCCCGACCCGGCCGGGGGGTGGTTACATTGAATCCAGTGACACCGCCAGAAGGGTAGGAGGGGGGAGCTGGCTCACTCTGAAAGATACTCCGCTGTTTTGAGATGAGATCGACTTCTCTCTGCGGTCTGTGCAAGGCTCACCTAGAACGCTCTCACTAGCGAGGTCGGAGGGGAGGGG